TCGTTGCTGTGTGCCAACATATACGGAGTTGTTGTAAAGATCTAGGGAGAGGTCATCCGCATTTCTGAAAGCAGTTCAACCTTGAAGAAGGTCAAGGTTCGCGGAGAGGAGCTGTTGTGGGAAAAACACGAAGTTCGAGTTGTGTTCAAGAACAGCATACAAATTAAAGAGGGAGTCTTTATTATTTTTATGAAGTCCTATTAATGTACACTGTAAATATGAACTAGTGAAATTGTGTTTGTAGGTCCTTGTGGATGTATGGCACAATTGTGTCTGAACCACATTAATTTTTTGTGTTATTTATTCTGTCTTTAATAGTTAATTACTGTGACAACACAAGAATTATAGTTGCAACATAATAAGGTTTCAACAATATTCTGTTACAAGTTAGAATAATTAATTTCTATAGGCATGTAAATCAACAAAATGGATAAAACCTCCAATCATTTACATTAGTGGGAAGTTAACACTACTGAACTTATATCGAGCGGTGAGATAAAAACTCGATCAATTGACAAGTGTAATCAAATGGATGCATGATGGGCCGAAATGAGAAGAAAACTCATCTCACAACTCAATGAAAGAAATATTAGGAGCGCTGAAAGACTAATCTCACAGTTCAAGAACAAAAATGAGAATGAGAGTTAGAAGGCTCATCTCATATCATGCACAAGTAAAAATATGAATTTGAAGCCAGAAGACTCATCTCATAACTCAACTAAATAAATGAGATTGAGAGCTAGAAGACTCATCTCATAGTATAATAATTTATGAGAAAATAGGGTTGGGAGCTCTATAAGACTCATCTCATAGCTCAAGGATTTTCCCTGGGACTTGAGATTGACTTTAAAGAGATTTACTCTTTCATGCAGATAAATTTTATTACATTCACATATCCAGTTAGTTTAGTTGTATCTTAAAAATTAAACTTTATGGAGATCTAGATACAACTATTTATATGAAAGTCTTGAAAAGACTTCGATTTCCCGAAGCAATTAGTTCCAGACGACGGAATACGATCTCAATTAGGGTGAGGCGATCACTTTATGACTTGAAATATTGTGGAAGAATGTATGATAATCGCCTTAAGTATATGTTTGTTGGGAAGATAATGTGAGAATGACGAATGATTCATTCCGTCTTGTGGAGGAGGACGAAGAAATGTTGGCACGTGCTATATGTAAGTGCAATGTGTGTATTATTGTATTAATTCCACATATTCGATATGATTTGGCATTTTCGATGAATTATTAGGTGGACTTAGCTCACCTCACAGATGCATCATATGCATCACTGAATAATGCAAAGCTTGTGGGTTATACTGATATTGACGATAAGTCATACCCACACAAAGTATGTTCCCAAAATCTATGATTTAGTAATGGGAATATAGTTATGCATGAAGTTTAGCTTCAGCAGGTAGTGCACGAATGCCCATGTTCGAGATTCCTGTGAATTGGCTAACACAAAAGATCTTAAAAGATTGTATTTGATGGTAATTCAAAATGCATTGAGTAAATGAAGACGGTGTTCATTAAAGGTGACACGATCTAACATATAGCTCTGAGATTTTCCTCAATCAACAACAACAAGAGTTCAACAAATAATGTTCCAACAGATTGTAAGTCAGAATAATTATGCTGACTTATTTATTAGGTTTTTTGCTAAAATCACCTTTGAAAATCATTTTAGGACTATCGACTTGTGTATATTATCTGAGTTTGCTACCTTGTAGACATCAGGGGGATTAAGTGGAAGAGGAGCACCGTGTAGGTACTTATTACCAGAAGATACCCATACACCCTATTGTACTCTTTTTTTTTTTTTCTCTGTGCGATGTTTATTTTTCCCCTCAGGGTTTTCGTTACTCACCAAGATTTTAACGAGGCAACATATATTGATTTAAAATATTGTGTGTTGTGCTCTATATCCAAATCAAAATTGTTTTTTTCACTGGGTTGTTATTACTCATAAGGTTTTAACAAGACAATACAAAATGAACAATAGTGGTTTGATAGGAATCCCCAAGGGGGAGTGTTATAAATAACGTGGAAAATGGATCTTCTTAACTTAACTACTTTGAGGTTTCTCAAGCTCTCACTACTGTTAACTTCCTACTTCTTAATCTTATTATGTGTGTAGGAGATAACTTCTTTATAACTCCCAACTTCTCTCTATAATTTCCGGGGGTTACCACCTATATAAATTAAAATAAAACCACCTCCCCATCGAACAACCATAAGTGTCTCTCTACGAATTGCCTATCTTGTGTTGTTATTTTCTTTGTATTTTTATTCTCGTTATTTACGTTCTTGTGTATTTTCACAATTGTCAAACTAAAGAGCTAGATTAAATATGTCATCTTACAAAAAATTATCAGTGCGAGGTGCTTGCGATGTCGTGGAAAACAAATCTTTTGTCGTACGTGGATGCTTGAACAACTTGTGATTCTGATTTGTTCGTTCAACTTGAAATGTATTTAACTTACAAACAAAGTTAGCAAATTCTAGGGGTGGCAGTCGGGCTATGCGAGTCGAGCCTTAGTAGGTTCAGACTCAAATACCATCGAATTTTACAACTAGATCGAGATTTGTTGGTTTAGGCTCAAACTCAATCGGCGCATATATTATTTAGGCTCCGTGTTTAAATCGGACCCAAATTAAACTTATAATGTCAAATGATACATTTAATAAATATTGAAACTATTTATTTAGTTAGAGTTTATTAGGGTTGAGTCATGCTATAACAAGCTCAAACTCGACTAATAAATCTTTGAATTTGATAGAATAGGCTGAAACTCAATCTGACTCACAATTATTTAACTTCGACTTAAATAAAATAAAGTCAAGTCATCGGGATTCAGGTAGGCCCGGTTCAATTATCGATCCTAGCAAATCCCAACCATTCGAGGAGGTTTGTGATACTACTTCATCGAGAAAACAAATTTGTTCCAGATGTTGAGGGTAAACGTC